AAGCCTAAACCCTAAACCCTTCTTGATTCACCATACCGCCAATGCCACTGAGGTGAAGCATATCGAATACTGGCACTAGTCACGCTTATTCGTCCGTGCTCCAACTTCTCGGGGTTCAGAAAACCCATAGGCTCCTAAGCAGTTCCTTTTCGTGGTTTATAGTTAGAATCCTATAAGGTGATCCCAAAAAGGAACTACTAAGGAGCCTATGGGAAGGCATGCTATTTGGGATCCAGGTAAGCCCTGAATTCTACAGCCTAAAGCAGATGCTTTCGGGCTGTGGCGACTGGCAGCTTCAGACCAGGAAACAACAGACCAGCTGCACTTTCGTTTTCCATGAAACAGCTGCAGCATCGCGGACGACTTGTCCACAAAAAGTATGGTCTCACAAAGCCCTAACCCTAAACTCTGAACCCTAATTTCAAATCCAAATCCTAAACCATAAACCCCAAACCCCAACTGCTAGACGAAGAGCGTGAGATCAGAGATTTCTTTTGTACCGGAGGTAGGGGGCTTTGAACCCCGCACTCTCCAGAAGAAATGCCCTCCCCCCCTGCGGGGTACTCCTTTGGTAAACTTCTGTAAACTTCCTTAGAGTTTTAGTCGGATTCTTGTCATGACATTAAGGTGCATTCCTTTAAGTAAGGGTTTTTGTGGGCTCTCTGTTTGAGTGCGCCGTGCTCACCGGCGCGAAAATCACAACGACATGCTGCCTCCGAGCTGTTTCGTCAGGGCTCAGCGCGGCAGTGTAGCTGAAGGCCTAGGGACCAGCACCTCCCATCCTAAACCCTAAACCCTAAACCCTAAAAAGCTACCTCCTAAACCCTAAACCCTAAACCCTAAAAAGCTACCCCCTAAACCCTAAACCCTACACCCTAAAAAGCTGGGATAGCAGGTAGCCTGGCTTCAGAACCTGCCTGAGCTTGTGCCCAGTTCGGTCCCCCGGAGGGCCCGAGTACCCAAATAGTAAGGTTTTAAGTCCTCAAATCCCTACTCTAAATGGTTCTTGGACCTTGAAACCCTACTATTTGGGCACTTGGACCCTTTTGGTCCGTGATGATGGTGCACCACCGGGCCTTTCCCAACCAACCGAGAGGCCGGGAACCGTCTTCGTGAGTTCTCGCTAGAGAACTCGATTCAACTGGGGTTTAGGGCTTAGTTTAGGGTTTATAGGGTTTAGGGGTTTAGGGTTCAACTGGGGTTTAGGGCTTAAGTTGTAAGCTTTTTGGACGGGTACTTTTCCCTGCCGATCATGCTTCACAGTTAGTGGCTCTGGCGTCACTGCTGCTGGGTCATGGACAACGCCAGACAGCGTGTGATCACAGGAGGTGCCTGGTGATGAAAACTGTTAGATGGAGAATTAATAACCCTAAGGGTCCATGTACTCATATAGTACATACATGGGCTATATAGGGACTACTTTAAGGCCAAAGCATATACTATTTGGGTACATGGACCCTTAGGGTAAGAGGATTACGAGACCCTCTCCGCTCTTGTCCCGGAAGAGGTGGGGGCTTTGAACCCCTCCCTCTCTGCTGGAGTTCCAGGAACTGCCATCAAAGCCAATACCCGAATGAACAGGAAGAATTACTGAGAATTATGGGGTGCAAGTGTAGTGCATTGCATCGTTCAAGGGTACTGGGCTTCCATGTTAGGCGTGCCTCGCTTGCAGGAGTCGCAAAGATCCCACTGACATTTCGGCATCTCGGCCCCGAACTGATCCCCAAAACCGATTTGCTAAACCCTAAACCCCTAAACCCTAAACCCTAAAAAACCGAGTAAGATCTCCCTCCGACTGCGACTCCACTGGCCCGTCATAGCTACCACGCCTCAGTGCCAGGATTCAACTCCCGGCTCCTTTCTTCGACGCGATGCCATGTGGGAGTTTCCGAAAATTGGGGTACCTTATTTGGGGTCCTTAGAATAAGGAGCCTACTATTTAGGGTGCTATATTAGGGTTTAGGGTTTAGGGTTATTTAGGGTACTATATTAGGGTCCCCTATTTTCGGAAACCCCCCATTTGGAGCCCGCTACCTGGGTCCAGAGAAGCCTGCGAGCTCGAGAACGAACCGGTCCAGTATTCTTGGCTGTCTCAGCCGACCGATCAGCTCTGGCTTGCTCCGCTCTTGCTAGAGAACCTAGGCGATACCGTTCGATCGATACCAAACGCCACAGGCAGCGATAATCAGCCTAAAGCCCACAGCAAGAGCCGAGATACGGAAGAAGCATCTGGACGAGGTAGCCGGCTAAAGATGGTGTCTTATGATTAGTGGGCCGTCACATGGTGTGAACTACATTTACACTCATCACTTGAAAGCCTCATGTAGAGATATTGGAAACTCGCACGGGCTTTCAAGGCGATGGAAAGTCCTCAAGAAATGGCAGATCGCTTCGTGATGGCAGCAACTGGGATATCCAACTGCCTGTGGCCACAACCCGGTGAGAACCCAAAGCCCTAAACCTCAGCTTCCACAACTTCCTATGACCACCTGACCACCGTCACTACGACAATGGACGATTCAGGCTGTAGGGCTGTAGGCAACTCGAGACCAAGGCTAACCAGTGCTTCCATCAGGCCTGTTGATTTCAAGCGACAGGCATATCTGCCAAAGCAAAGCTATGCAAATTCGCAAGACTAGAGGGCTATCATTCGAGCGATGTCTCTCTCTGCAAGCCCTAAACTATACACCACATCGCCGAGCAACCCCGAGATTGGGATCGCGCTGCAAGTGGCAAGCATGCCGTCACTTACCCATCACCTCAATGGCTCGCCGGACTGAAACAGTCCTCTCGGCAGCCAGGAGAATCCGCAGCGTCTCGCGATGGGAGCCGAAGGAGCCTTCCTTCTCTGCTTTCTGCGCGATCTCAAGGGCCGTGCGGCCCCGGGATGTCTTCTGCTTGGGATCGGCTCGCGCCAGGAGAAGAAAATTGATGATCCTCTCGTGGCCACGCTTGGCTGCGACATGGATGGGGCACATGGACTCCGGCCTTTTGAAGAGAAAGCAGCCGCTGGGCACCTGTTGCTCGTTCACATCCATCTCCCGAAAGTTATTGGCCCGCAGCCAAGGGCTTATCTGCTTCAAAGCCTTCATCTGCACCAGCTCTCTCTTTGTAAGATCGGCCGTCGCGTCGACGTCAACCTCCTCATCGTCAAGAGGCTCCTGGTAACCATAACTGGCTTCGGGGTAAGTCTTTTTTGATAAAGGTATATGGGGACTACAAGGAGGGTACTTGTTACCACTGTTACCATCTTGTGCAATTAGCTCCGGCCCTTATACTATGCATGTCTCCTGGTCCTTCTCGTACTGCTTGGTGCGCCCTCGACTTTCCAACTTCGGTGTAGGTATGATAGGCTGGCCGGCCTGGTCCTCATCAAAGATCGCGGAGCCCGGAAGGCTTGTGGAGGTTCCAGCATGGGCCAACGAAGTCATGACCGCGGTCACCGCCGTACCCGGGCTGCAAAAACGGAGCTTCAGCAAAAAATGGCGACCACCGAGCCTTTCCCTAGGGTTTAGGGCTTAGGGCTATAGGGTTTAGGGCTTAGGGTTTAGGGTAGGGCTTTGGGGTTAGGGTCACCAGCTGGGTGTTTGCTACGGATTCAAGTTGCGGCTCGGGCTTCTGATCGGTGTACGAGGCTATGTCTTGCAAGTGACCCGAACAGCGGGGCAGAATGCGGGAAATAAGATCTTAGAAGCAGAAGGTAACCGTTAACAACCCTAAAGACCCTCTAAAAGAACGAGTTGGCTCGACATCTCATGCGGAAGCCCCCTAAGAGCCCCAAGACCCCTTAATTGAAGAGGATGGGGTAGGGTTTAGGGTTGAGGGTTCAGGGCTTAGACTGTTTAGGGGTGTTATAGATCCTTGGGCTGTCTCGGGTTGCGCTTGATTTTCTAAGGCTTTACCGGGCTATCATACTCGATAACTGCGGAATATACCTGAATTTGAAGGGGCCGCATCTTGCTGAAGGCGTCTGATCAACAGTTTCATTGGTTAAGGATTAGTTGATTGGGTATTGGGCTCCCTGGGACCACGATTGATAGATTCGGCTTGACCCTGACCTGCCTACTTCTTCCAGAAACCCTACGAAAGGTGGGTTGTAGTAGGTGAGAGTAGGGACTGAAACTCAGAAGGTAGGGTTTAGGATGTAAGTTTTAGGTTTTTGGGTTTCGGCGAAGGTCCCAGACCGCCGGAAGGATCCCCTAATCTGGGACTCCATGCTACTCAAGGGTACTTGCAATGGAACCCCCTTCTATAAGGGATCTACTTTTGGGATACTTCCGGCGGTCTGGGGTAGAGTTCGGGATTCAGCCCTAAACCCTAAACCCCTAAACCCTAAACCCTGCGTGCACTGGGCGCCGGGCAAAGACGTCAACCTGGAGTCTCGCGCAAAGCTCCCTGGCGAATCAACTTGGTGTGAACGATTTGGTAGGGTTTAGTGTTTAGGGTTTAGGGTGTAGGGCTTAGGGCCTGGGGCTTTAGGGGTTCAGGGCTTCATGGTTTCCAACACGGTTTAGGGTTTAGGGTTTACGGTCCGGATCTATTGTGTTATACCCATAGGCCCCAAGTAGTTCCTTTTGGGGATTACCTTATAGAATTCTAAATATAAACCATAAAAAGGAACACTTAGGGGCCTGTGGGTAGGGCCTGGGGCTTTAAGGGTTTAAAAGTTTAGGGGTTTAGAGTATAGGGGTTTCGGGGTTTACGGGTTCCAAAGGCTCTAAGGGTTGTAAGGCTGTAAGGGATGTATAAGGGCCTTGGGTTTGTTTTCTTGGTGTGTTACGGGATGACAACGATGCAGGAAGCTTTACCATGCGGGGTAGATGTAGAGCATTGTCTCGAAAAGCAGTCATGTCGGAGGGTTTATGTAGGGCTTTAGGATTTACAGGGTTTGGGGCTTTAGGATGGTTTGGGGCTTTAGGATTTATAGGGTTTGGGGCTTTAGGATGGTTTAGGGCTTTAGGATTTATAGGG